CACACACACACACACACACACACACACACACACACACACACACACACACACACACACACACACACACACACACACACGAACGCACGCGCGCACACACACACACACACACACACACACACACACACACACACACACACACACACACAAACGCACGCACACGCGCACAAAATATGTGTAACACAACCCATTCATTACTCACCTCTCCATTTTCAGATACTTTGACTAGAGGACCATTTGAAACCAATGCACAGCTCTCGAAAAATCGGCCCTACGCATCCAATCATCCAGCAGACACATATGCCCTAGGCTGTTACCTTCCTTTTTTTTTTTCTTTTCCTGTGGAACTCTTAAACTCGTGTTCTCTCGAACAGGCTTCTGAATTAAAGAAGGAAAGGAAAAGCACTGGCATTTCAAACAGCGTAGGCAAGAAAAGAAAAAAGAAAAAAGAAAAACACCCAGCCCATGCAACTGGATGGTCACCCATCAACTGTTAATAACAAAAAGAGCTGTTTTTTTGGGTCAATCCATATAGTAATGGGAGGAATGTGCCCTCACAGGGCCCTAGCCAACATGCACATGATATGGGCTGTGGCCCCCAGCAAGCATCATGCCATCCCTAAGTGAAGGCGGGCCTGAAAATCCACGAGAGGCCCTTATCTCAGCATTTTCCAATGTGGGTATCAGACAGTTGCAGCACGTCAGTTGGTTGAAGTGCAACGTGAGCCTCTCCCTGGGCTCCCTCCAGAGACAGCAGCTACGTCAAGCAGTTGAGCCCAGGGCCGGGTGTTTGGGCCCTGGGCACACGCAGTGTGAGGCCGACACATCACGAAGTGGCCGCGGGCAAATCAGAAAGCAACATTGTCGTCACAGAGGCCCAGCGAGCCAACGGGAAGATGGAAAACACTTGGAGTCCGGAGGCTGCCTGGACGTGCCCAACTAGAAAGGGCCCAGGCCCCCAACTGTCGGACAGGGCCTGGACGCAGACACTGGGGCCCGACCGGAAGCTACTGGGAGCTTCCTCAGCCAGGTCCACACAGCCAAACAGGGCCGCGACTTCCACAAGGAAGGTCGCTGGCCAGGCTGGGGCATTCTGGCCTAGGCAGGCAATGCGGACACGCTGCTGCATTGCTGCGCAAGTGTCTGCATGCGCGCTGCTGGCTGGGGTTCACACAGGTGCTATGAGGTGAGAGGGGCGCTGCAGGGCACCAGGCGCAGGGCAGCCATAGCCGGGCTGCAGGGGCACATGCGGGTGATGGGCGAAGGTTTAAGAGGCGCATGAGTGGGTGGTCACAGTCTGATGAGGGGAGGAGAGAGAACGTACCTGGTTTATGTGGGAGGTCGGCATTGGTGTTGACGTCATGTACATTGGTCTTCAACGTCAGAAGTGACCCTGTTGCACGAATGTAGAAAGGCTAGATAGGCTCAGTAGAGTAGGCTGGGCGCTGGGCGCCAGACAGAGAAGAGCGACATTGGATGCGGTGTTGGTGGGGCCTGAGGGCGATAACATTGGCACACGAGTTCATTGCTTCGCTCTTATTGGAATGGAAACTTGGTGCATTGAGCTCTCTGCTTGGTACATGACTATTTGGACATCTGTGTGATTTTGCAACTTGGTTTTCTATCTATCGGTGTTGGTGGGGGCTGAGGGCGATAACATTGGCACACGAGTTCACTGCTTCGCTCTTATTGGAATGGAATCTTGGTGCATTTGAGCTCTCTGCTTGGTACATGACTATTTGGACATCTGTGTGATTTTGCAACTTGGTTTTCTATCNGCTCTTATTGGAATGGAATCTTGGTGCATTTGAGCTCTCTGCTTGGTACATGACTATTTGGACATCTGTGTGATTTTGCAACTTGGTTTTCTATCCATCGCTCTCGCTCATATTCCTTGCATTTTAGTATCAGACCTGGTTTGAGATCGCCATTACCTGGCACTACTTGGTGCGCTGACGAAGCTTCTACGCAGTGAAGATACATTAACACTGGCATGATTGGGCGACACCTGGGTAGAGGGGTGCACTGCCGGAAGGCTGTGGCTCAGCGTGGGAGCTAATGTGTGATGATGAGAGCATGCTGATGTGGCATTTCGGCTGAGGTGGCACTGCATTGCATTGTGGGTGGTACTGAGGCTACGACCGGTCATCGAAATGCACGTCGGCTCAATTGGTGAGAAATCTGTGGTTGGGGGCAGCTATCTTCAGGTACGTTGTTCCCTTACCTTATCTTCCCTCTCAATCTCTTCTTACCGTGAGGAAGTGTGTCCAACTTGAGCGTCCTCTTTTGGTTAAGGGGTCGTGAACACTCTACCTTGATAGTCGACATTCTTCCTGGTGGCGCATCTGGCAGGCGAGGGCGGTGCCTCTGAAGGGCCCTGGTCGAAGCACGGGTCACAGTCACCATGCCAACCCATCGGAGTAATACACGCAGGCCATGCTGCTTTGTCCTTTGAGCTCTTTGCTGCGCCAATAGAGGTAACGTGGACTGACCAGTCCTATGCAAAGGCTTACCAGACCGTCTATAAACATTTCTGGCGGGGATCTGTTCTGAATACTGGCTGTGATCGTCATCCTGTCTGCGACGTTAAATAATTTTTGAGGACCTTGGAGGCTGTCCTTAAACTGCCTCTTGATCAGCCAGATCAGTCAGATGGAAGACTCGTTGCATGCGAGGATTAACAAAGGGCAGTGCTGGTCATAAGCGAGTTCCTAGGCACAGGGTTGGGCCGTTAATGCACACCTTGATGATGCGGACAGGCACATTGTATATAGGGGAAGGATGGTTCCAATTGGTGCTCAACTACAATCACAAATATTTCCATTGTACATAGATCTGCGCACGTGATTTATTTTTATTGTGATTAGTTGGTGGACAGACCGGTAACACCTAATGGACAACTTAGATTAGAACTGTAGTGTTCTACCATTGCCAGTTCTGTTCGATGCTGCTGTGAGTGAAACTAATCGAAGTAGTATTAGATCATGTGCTCAGTTTGTGAATATGTTGTTGATACCGCTTGAATGGTAGCCTGGTTGACTTGCCAGATATTAAATTATTTTTAATTATTTTTCAACCCGGTCGGACACAAGCTGTGGTAGGCTCCAATGAGGGCACTAGTGCAGATAGTGATCTGCCTAGTTGATGAGCGGTGCAGATAGTGGGGAAGGAACAGCTGACGATCGGAGGCAAACACGGCGGGATACACGTAGACTTCCGGTAGTGTTTCAAGTTCTGCTACCAGGGGGAAAGAGAAGGTTCCAGGCCGAAGCAAGGGCCCGACATCTGCAGACAGCTAGGGAGGCAGCAGGAGCTGCAGAGCGTGCATTAGCGGGAGTTGTAGCTGGTGTTGAAGCTATGGCTGCTCCTGCAGCAACCTCTCAAGGTCCACAAACATCAGGAACGATCACTATGTCCTTCATCTCATCTAGTGGGACGAGTGCAGGACCCTTCACTAGTGAGATGGCAGGCTTGCAGTACAGCCAGCCACCTCCGCCCACTAGAGAGGAGTTAGAACTCCAACGAGTAGAGTTACTTCAGTTACTGTTAGAGAAGCAACTCAGAGAAGATACTCAAAGAAAAGACCAGATTAGAAATCGTAAGGCTAGACTGGAGAGCAGAGAGGCGGTCAAGATTGCACCAGAAGAGATAGATGATGCAACCCTAGATGATGTAGGGAAGGTCATCAAGGCAAATCTATTAAATATGAACGAGTTTTTGATAGCTGACTGCATGACATCCAGTCAACCCTTGACCAGATACTGCGGGCCGTGTAGGGAAGGGGACTAACACTACCTTCCCCACCTAGTGGGCCGAGTGTCCGACAGCAAGCAACTTTTCCATCACCGGTGCCTTTGTCGACGATGACAGGTCCCTTTGTTCCACAGTTTGGTCTCCCACCAGGTGGAACATCAGCAGCAGCAGCACAAACTGCAGCTTCTTCATCCTCAGGTCCAGCTGTCAGCGCTACTGGGCCGCAGCCTGTTCCACCAATGGGACCACAACATCCTTGATACCCCAAGAGCCCACTGAAACCACCTCTTACCTTCTCAGGGAATAAGAAGGATGAGGCACTCGACACTTGGTTGACGACGGTGCCAGTGTGGGTAAGGGCAAAGAGGACATTGCTAGAAGAAGAGGTGATCAATTCCGCCTCATATCTTGAGGGATCGGCAGCAAGATGGCTAGATGGGATAGTGGTATCCGAAGGGTACGGCCGACGAATGAATGACTCGCCAAGGACCCACACATTAGAGAGCTTTATGACGTTGGTAGAAACGTGATGGCACAACCCTCAGCAAGCCCAACAGGCCACTGACGCGTTGGCCTGGCTTGAGACCAGAAGGTACAAGTCCGCGCGAGAACTTTCTAGTGCTGTGAAGAAACTCAATGTCGTCCCTGAAGTCCGCTACGACCCACAGGTCTTGCTGACCATGTTTCTTAGATGTCTTCCCACAAACATCAAGAATCTGATGGTTAATGAGGCTAGCATCGACGTTCACACCTTCGACTCCTTCAGCAAGAAGGCCTTTGATTTAGTGGCTAAGCTAGCAGGAGCACAATAACTTGTGATGGATGGAAGGAAAGAAGAAGACCCCACAAGAATGGAAGAAGAAGGGTAGTTGATTGGTGATGGTTGATTCCGATGGGAATCAAACCGAGATCGATGATCTCTCTGATCTTGTGGAGGACATAGAGATAGGTGGCAAGGAGAGTGCAGAGGGTGGCAACCTCGCTGCCATGACCAAAGGTAAGGCAGCTGGCCGCGGCAAGGCAAGGGCGGTCAACAAAAGAGTCAAGGGTAGGCCCATAACTCAAACAGGACTCCGGCTTGGGTGAGGGAGAGCCTGGATCAGGATGTGTGGAGGGACTGATACTCACGAGGAGCTTGCATCAACTGCAGCGAATACGGCCATCAGCAGTTTGGATGTAAGAACGCGAAGGTTGCTCAAACGATTGCGCCCAAAGGTGGTTTGGGGGGATCTTTCGCCCAGAATGCTGCTTCTACGAGCAGAAATCAGGGAAACACATCCGACCAGTAGAAGTTGTAGCTGCTTCTACTCATGCTGAGGTGGTTGATGTACCCTCACCACTTCAGGAGTTGGCCAAGGCTATCGACTTACTAGTCACCCCGCAGTCAAATCTAAACCAAACGACTCTTTGTTCGTTGGATGTGTCTGAAGCCATAGAAGACTTTGAAACCGAGTGGTCTGCAAGGGACCCTCGTGAGTCTTGGGTGGCACTGTCAAGAGGTCCGAAATGGGAGCACTTCGTTGTGGAAGTCGGTGTAGGTAGGCGCAAGTGTGGTGCCTTCGTAGACATCGGCTCCACGCGGAACTTCATAAGTCGCAACTGCGTTGAGAGACTGTGCCTAGGGGACCACCCTTGTGAGGGTGTTCACTGCCGGGTTCTCGCGGCGTGCATGAAGGGCCACCATCTGGATGCACTGACTGAATGTACGGCAGACGTGGAGGGGCAGAACAGTGAGCTGCTTTCTCCCAAGGCGCAGCAGCATGGAGGTTTCCCCCGAGGAGTGTTGTGGGGCCTTTCCTGCACGGCAAAGCGGGGGGCACAGAAGAATTTCATGTCAACAGCCCTTGTGCAGGGGTCAGTTGTTAAACCGACAGTACATCGCCCAGGCAAACTTGAGGATGGAAAGTACGGCCGACAAGCCCAGGCAGGACGGTGAGCTGCTTTCTCCCAAGGTGCAGCAGGGTGGAGGTTTCCCCCAAGGAGGAGTGCTGTAGGCCCTTTCCTGTACAGCAAACAGGGGGTGGAGAAGAATTCCATGTCAACAGCCCTTGTGCAGGGGTCAGTTGTTAAACCAACAGTACATCGCCCAGGCAAACTCGAGGATCGAAAAGGAGTTGTTCCGAAAAGTTCAGAGGCTTCGGGGTGCTGAACCAAAATGGCTGGCGGTACCAGCCAAAAGAAAAGAAAAAGCGTCATGCTGGCATTTCGGCAAAGCTTGGCGAGGAGGGGGAATCCGCCTCGGCAAAAAGAGGCTCGGATGTACTGGTGGCTTAAGAGATATGGGACCCAGTGCTGAAGCTCAAGCGAGCGGCGGGAATCCGACTCAAGTGTGGAGAAAGCTCAAACGCCTTCCTCCAGAGTAAGCCACCGCCACAGTGACCGTATGTTCTATTCGGGAAAGGACGGTAGGGACCACTTTGGCTTCTAGAGGCCTTGGGCACCTCACTTTGACTCTGGACCCCAGCTCTACCAACCTAACGACTTTCTCAGACCTGTTTCAAGGCCCTCATGGTGACATTTTACCCTACCGTCTTCGCCCGAATAAAACGCCTGGTCATTATCACTGCATCTGGTCTGAAACTTGCCCCAAAGACAGCTATAATAACTGGCCGTTCTATTCGGGTGAAGACCCTTGAACTTTGCTGTGACCGAAAGCTAAGGCCACTGGATTTGTTGCATTGCTGGCTTTGAGCGCCGTTCTTCGCAGACATCATGACTTGGGGGGGAAAAAGGAGAGAGAACATTGAAAAACGACTACTTTCTGCCCTTCAGGACATCCATTAAAATTGCAAGATACAAAAGAGAGAGAGAGAGAGAGAGAGAGAGAGAGAGAGAGAGAGAGAGAGAGAGAGAGAGAGAGAGAGAGAGAGAGAGAGAGGAGGCGGGCTGGTCATAGCTGGGTGCACAGTGGTCCTAGAATCATACCCGAACAGCAAAAGATAGAGAGAGGTGGATATGGGGCTTCGCTCCACCACAACCCACTCTACGTGAATGAGAACTTTAATCTAAGCCACATGCATTCCGCTGCTGTGCAAGGATGACATGCATAAATCGAGAAATGGTCCAAATTGAAACAAGAAAAGAAAGAAAAAGGAGAAAAAAAGGCTACCTTCATGTCCTCCAAGGGACGCAAGTTGGGAGAAAGATGGCGTCGACCACATGTTTCCACATTGCCCTTCCATCTGCAAGATCCCGGCAAAATTTGAGACCCATCCACTCAGTTAGAC